AGTTCCAAACTGCCTCTGGAAGCAACGTCAGCACAATAACTTTTCGTCGGGAGCTTCATGAAATGGGTTTCCATGGCCGAGCAGCCGCACACAAGCCTAAGATCACCATGCGCAATGCCAAGCATCGGCTGCAGTGGTGTAACGCACGCCGCCATTGGACTCTGGAGCAGTGGAAATGCGTTCTCTGGAGTAATTAATCACACTTCACCATCTGGCAGTCCAACTGACAAATCTGGGTTTGGCGGATGGCAGGAGAACGCTACCTGCCAGAATTCATAGTGCCAACTGTAAAGTTTGTTGGAGGAGGAATAATGGTCTGGGGCTAGTTCCAGTGAAGGGAAATCTTAACGCTACAGCATACAATGACATTCTAGACAACAGTTTGGGGAAGGCCCTTTCCTGTTTCAGCATGACAATTCCCCCGTGTACAAACCGAGGTCCATACAGAAATGGTTTGTCGAGATCGGTGTGGAAGAACTTGACTAGCCTGCACAGAGCCCTGACCTCAACTCCATCAAACACCTTTGGGATGAATTGGAACGCCGACTGCGAGCCAGGCCTAATCGCCCAACATCAGTGCCCGACCTCACTAATGCCAAATGGGAAAGCTGTTCTGACTTCCTGGCTGTGTTATCGATGGTTTCTAATGGGTTTAATGTTAAAAGTCACTTATCACACTATAAAGAGATGTTTTCTAATAATGGTATTGAAAACAATAAGACTGCCATGCAATGGTTTATAATTGTGTTTTTTAGTGTTATCAATGGAAACATTTCAGTCACTAGTCCATTTCTCCATCAAAGATTTGGGCTTGTAGGAAATTTCTTCACATGAGTATTGTACCATAAGAATAGCCCTCTCATAGAGCTGGCATTTATTAGACTAAGGAGAGTTGGGTTGAAGCATTTGAGGTTGATAAGAGAAGGTCAAACTGATAAACAGTCATCACTAGCACAGTACCCTGCCCTGAACCTTAGAGACCGCTAACCTACGTACATAGAGTCATTGAACATTGGTTACTTTAATCATATTTACACACTGTTTTACCCACCACTATATGTATATACTGTATTCTAGTCATGGCTCATCCTATATAACTCCTGCTGTACACACCTTTTATATTCATTTACTGTCCATACAGTCTATACACACCATTCACATACAGTACATATACAGTACCAGTCAACATTTTGAACACCTACTCAATCAAGGGTTTTTCTTTATTTGTACTATTTTCTACATTGTAGAATAATAGTGAAGAAATCAAAACTATGAAATAACACATATGGAATCATGTAGTAACCAAAAAAGTGTTCTTCAAATAGCCACCCTTTGCCTTGATGACAGCTTTGCACACTCTTGGCATTCTCTCAACCAGCTTCACCTGGAATGCTTTTCCAACAGTCTTGAAGGAGTTCCCACATATGCTGATCACTGGTTGGCTGATTTTCCTTCACTCTGCCGTCCGACTCATCCCAAACCATCTGAATTGGGTTGAGGTCGGGGGATTGTGGAGGCCAGGTCATCTGATGCAGCACTCCATCACTCTCCTTCTTGGCAAAACAGCCCTTACACACTGGAGGTGTGTTGGGTCATTGTCCTGTTGAAAAACAAATGAGTCCCACTAAGCCCAAACCAGATGGGATGGCGTATCGCTGCAGAATGCTGTGGTAGCCATGCTGGTTAAGTGTGCCTTGAATTCTAAATAAATCACAGACAGTGTCACCAACAAAGCACCCCCACACCATAACACCTCCTCCTCCATGCTTTACGGTGGGAACTACACATGCAGAGATCATCCGTTCACCCACACTGCGTCTCACAAAGACACAGCCGTTGGAACGAAAAATCTCCAATTTGGACTCCAGACCAAAGGACAAATTTCCACCGGTCTAATGTCCATTGCTCGCGTTTCTTGGCCCAAGCAGGTCTCTTATTTTTATTGGTGTCCTTTAGTAGTGGTTTCTTTGCAGCAATTTGACCATGAAGGCCTGATTCACACAATCCCCTCTGAACAGTTGATGTTGAGATGGGTCTGTGACTTGAACTCTGTGAAGCATTTATTTGGGCTGCAATTTCTGAGACTGGTAACTCTAATGACCTTATCCTCTGCAGCAGAGGTAACTCTGGGTCTTCCATTCCTGTGGCGGTCCTCATGAGAGCCAGTTTCATCATAGCGCTTGATGGTTGATGCGACCGCACTTGAAGAAACTTTCAAAGTCCTTGAAATTCTCCGTATTGACTGACCTTCATGTCTTAAAGTAATGATGGACTGTCGTTTCTCTTTGCTTATTTGAGCTGTTCTTGCCATAATATGGGCTTGGTCTTTTACCAAATAGGGCTATCTTCTGTATACCCCCCCTACCTTGTCACAACACAACTGATTGGCTCAAACGCATTAAGAAGGAAAGAAATTCCACAAATTAACTTTTAACAAGGCACACCTGTTAATTGAAATGCATGCCAGGTGACTACCTCGTGAAGCTGGTTGAGAGAATGCCAAGAGTGTGCAAAGCTGTCATCAAGGCAAAGGGTGGCTAAAATATATTTTGATTTGTTTAACACTTTTTTGGGTTACTACATGATTCCATATGTGTTATTTCATAGTTTTGATGTCTTCACTATTATTCTACAATGTAAAACATTTTTAAAATAAAGAAAAACCCTTGAATGAGTAGGCGTGTCCAAACTTCTGACTGTGGCTTAGTATGAAATATAGCCGTAATGCTGAGGCAGCATTGGCACTCACTATGCTCTTAAGCTCTTGATGGTTGCTAGGCAGCGGCCGTTACTACTATCCTCCTGACAGTTCTAAACTTTGCGGGGCATGTCACTTCACCCATCTCGCACTGTTTTCTTAACCACAACTGGATGGATCCATAAATAATTACTATTGGAATAAATATCACTGAATGAAGTAGGCTAATGCAATTGAAGGTATTGAGACAAGCGTGGGGTCTTAATAAATCAATCAATGTCAGATTTTTCTTTTCATTTTATCTCCATTTGGATATTATTTAGGCTATAATTAGGCTGTGGAAATGTTAGCTAAGTTGAGGTGAGTGTTGCTCATGCTCATCTTGTCTAGTTGACTGATTTATTAGAAAATGTTGCCAGCATGTTATGTAGTTTAACAAGTGGATTATTTTGCTCTTCACTCACAGTCGCTTAGTAGCCTAGGCCTACTCCAGACCAAAAGCCTGTGACTTGTCTTAATCAATGTGGTTTTGTTTAACTGAATCTTAGTCTGTATATTTGGTTAATTGATCTCTAACTGGGCAAGTGGAAGTGCGATGGTAGCTCATCTATTCGTTTGCTCATCTATCACTGATCAGAAACATTTAGCGTGCTATAATGTAGCCTAAATCAAGTGTAGGCCTATCATTTTGCTCGATCGCGTATAGGCAACTCCAAAAGCCTACGGAGGTTGTGAAATATCAACACGAGACTCAAATGCGTTTGAAAATCGGTATCATTAAGAAGATACTCTCAATGTAAGACCCTACACCACAAAGCAGAGTGAGGGTAGGAAAGAGATGGGTTCTGTTTCCAAATATCCCTTTTTTATATGACAGCGGTTCCACACGTTCTCGTGTGGGGAAAATATGATACGTATTTTATTGTTATATTTCATTATATTCTTAGCCTACTATAAAATATCCTGTGTGTTGACTGATAAGGGTAGCCTAAGTGTGTCTTGTCTGTTTAATGAACAAAATAACTATTGATTTCATGTGGATATGCCATTCTACTCTTTTGAAAATACATTTTCTTAGGACCTGCCTAAAATGAATTAATAATGGATTTCTTAGTGATGGTATATATTCAATGGATTTATTAAAATAGAAGTCCACCCACATGGGCCCACATCTACTCACACACTTGCCAGCATGTGCATGGAGATATAAAATGCTTATCCTGGCAAGAATGTGGTAAAAATGGGACTGTATGAATTGGGCTCTAACCAAACATTGACCGATGTTTTTTTTTTTTTTTTACATGTACATACGGTAAAGTCTGTCTGTAAAGGTATCTTTTTTTATTTGAAATATTATTTCTCGCTGATATGAAAGATAAGGGGCACGTCAGCATATGTTTAGAAAACCTGTTTGAAAGCTAAGACTATTTGCTTTTCTAAACGTTAAAACACAACGTCGGAATTGTAGTTCGCATGGGGCCAAATGTGGGCAAATGTAACCGCTGAAAATCCTACATATGGAGAAGGGTTTTCAAGCGCTATTACTTCGCTAGCTAGAGCATTGACATTTGCGATTCTCATTGAACTATTACCTAACTAGACACCATGACAGCTACATGACTTTCACATGTATAAAAAGCATGGGTAGTTTCGTGGCCTTCACCTGTCAACACAGAGACGTTGAAACTTTTTCGTGTTAGCTAGCTAGTCCAAGCTAACAACTAGCTGTCTAGGTTATCATAGCTAATTCATAGGTTCAAGCAAGTGCAAATGTAATTCATAGGTTCAAGCAAGTGCAATGTGCAACTACAAACCATTATACAAGGTATGAAAGTATAAATAGAGACCTGTGTTTGCGGATCAGGTTGTTCAGAAGATGCCATCTTTCCCAGCCTACTCCTCGTATAATCGATTCATTCGTGAACGATTGCTTAGGCTTGAATAAGGACGACTAGACTAAAGCTCGGACATTATGATGTTTTTTTTCTTCATTTCGTTCTTTCTATTATGTTGAGAAAATATAGTATATATATTTTTCTGATTAGATCGTATATATATTATATATATTTATATATATCAGTGGAGGCTGCTGAGGGGAGGACGGTTCATAATAATGGCTGGAACGGAGTAAATGGAATGTCATCGAACTAGCTTATGTGTTTGATACTATTCTACTCCGCTCCAGCCATTACCACGACCCCGTCCTCTCCAATTAAGGTGCCACCAACCTCCTGTGATATATATATTTTTTCCTTGTATACATTTTTTTCTCTCACTTTGTTCAAAATCAGGTCCGTTTGACTTTAAATAGCAAAACACTACACTTCCCATGAGGGCTTAGCTCCAAGCTCAGGACTTCCGTTTTCGCGGTTGAATCTGTAAGGAACGTCTGTTAGATTTCTTAACTTTCGGCATAACAAAATAGTGATGTCTGAACTAAAACCTTGTAAGGTGTGTAATTTTACGCGACAACAATCATACGGCTTGGTTGTACCTTCTCTGGACCAACTAAAGATAAAAGGTACGCTAATGAATGTTGTAAACAGCTGTCTAGTCAACTACAACTAGCTAGCTAACGTTAGATAACTAACGTTACTGTAGCTAACTGTGCGTGCGTGTGTTTGTACAGTTTTGGTAGCTAGATAGTATTCCTGATGAGCTGTGAGCATGCATTCCACCTTAATGAAGACAAGTAACTGTACCTACGCGTCATATAAATAAAACCCAAATGCAGAATAAACTTTGCTAGCCTAGCGCCAGGTAGATATATCTTGTAACTAGCAGCATAAATTGACACTGTATTAGCTGTTTAATCAGATAATGTTTACAATATCTATAATTCATTCATTGGGAAATCAACTGGCAGTCAACTCTGATCTCTAATCTTTGTGAATCATCACTACATTCTGCATACTGTATGCGCAACATTTTGCTCTGTGTGTTCTACATATTCGACTTGTACAAACTTGATTGAATTAGATATGGCACCTCAGCAGACCGAGGTAAAATTAGTTGTATATTGGATATTCGCTGTATATTCTGTTTTCTCTCATCAATGGCTATTGAACCAAGCATGCCATGACTATGAAAATGGTATATTCTGAATCAAGGGTGGATGGAGAACAATCCACACTTTTTTCTCGTTCCTTTTTTAAAATTAAAATTTTTCGGATTTCAATCTTCAATAGCTCTTACACAAAGCGTGCCACGACTATGAAAATGATACATTCTGAATCAGGGGAGGATGGAGACACAAGATATTAGGGTGAAATAATCTGTCGCAGATAAGAATGACACTTGATTCGAAGGGGCTTTGTTAAAGATGCACTATGCAGAATTGCGCCGCCATTTCCTGGTTGCTAAAATTATAATAGTTAGCCTAATTTCAGTTTGTGACAAAACAAGCAGTCTTTGTGTAGAGAACCAATGTACCATCTTTTTTTTACATAATAAAAACATTGGATTGTTTTCCATCCACCACTGATTCAGAATATACCATCTTCATAGCCATGGCATGCTTGGTTCAATAGCTATTGACGAGAGAACCGAATATCCAATATAAACTAATTTTACCTCGATCCTCTGCAGGACATCCCTTTCATTCCTAGAATGCTACTCACTGGGCGTGGTGCTGTCTTTTAACAAAGCTCACATCCCTGGCCTGGACACAAGAACTAGAGTAATACTAAACTTGTATAATCGTGTGTTTTGTGGAAATACATACCGTGCCTTCAGAAAGTATTCACACTCCTTGACTTCTTCCACATTTTGTTGTGTTACAGATATAAAACAAAAAAACGACATTGAATATCCCTTTCAGCATGGTGAAGTTATAAATTACACTTTGAATGGTGTATCAATATATATCAATACACCCAGTCACTACAAAGATAAAGGTATCCTTACTAACTCAATTGCCAGAGAGGAAGGAAACCGCTCAGAGATTTCACCATGAGGCAAATGGTGACTTTAAAAAATTTACAGAGTTTAATGGCTATGATAGGATAACTGAGGATGGATCAACAACATTGTAGTTACTCTACAATACTAACCTAATTGACAGAGTGAAAAGGGAAGCCTGTACAGAGTAAAAATATTCAAAAACATGCATCCTGTTTGAATACAAAGCGTTATCTTTGGGGCAAATCCAACACAACACGTCACTGAGTACCACTCTTCATATTTTCAAGCATGGTGGTGGCTGCATCATGTTATGGGTATGCTTGTCATTGACAAGGACTAGGGAGTTTTTTTAGGATAAAAATAAACGGAATAGAGCTAAGCACGGGTAAAATCCTAGAGATAAACCTGGTTCAGTCTGCTTTTCAACAGACACTGGGAGATGAATTCACCTTTCAGCAGGACAATAACCTAAAACACAAGGCCAAATATACACTTTACTTACTTAAAGATGACATTGAATGTTCCTGAGTGGCCTTGTTACAGTTTTGGCTTAAATCAACTTGAAAATCTATGGCAAGACTTGAAAATGGCTGTCAAGCAATGATCAACAACCAATTTGACAGAGCTTCAAGAATGTACCACATTTGCATATTATTCATAAAAACAATCTAGGTGTGCAAAGCTTTTAGAGACGTACCTAGAAAGACTCACAGCTGTAATCGCTGCCAAAGGTGATTCTAACAAGTATTGACTCATGGCTGTGAATACTTACAGTACCAGTCAAAAGTTTGGAAATACCTACTGATTCAAGGGTTTTTCTTTATTTTTACTATTTTCTGCACTGTATAATAGTAGTGAAGACATCAAAACTATGAAATAACACATATGGAATCATGTAGTAACCAAGAAAGTGTTAAACAATATATTTTATATTTGAGATTCTTCAAATAGCCACCCCTTTGCCTTGATGACAGCTTTGCACACTCTTGGCATTCTCTCAACCAGCTTCACCTGGAATGCTTTTCCAACAGTCTTGAAGGTTCCCACATATGCTGATCACTTGTTGGCTGCTTTTCCTTCACTCTGCCGTCCAACTCATCCCAAACCATTGGGTTGAGGTCGGGGGATTGTGGAGGCCAGGTCATCTGATGCAGCACTCCATCACTCTCCTTCTTGGTAAAATAGCCCTTACACATCCTGGAGGTGTGTTGGGTCATTGTCCTGTTGAAAAACAAATTATAGTCCCACTAAGCTAAGCCCAAACCAGATGGGATGGCATATCGCTGCAGAATGCTGTGGTAGCCATGTGGTAGCCATCCTGGTTAAGTGTGCCTTGAATTCTAAATTCATCACAGACAGTGTCACCAGCAAAGCACCCCCACACCATAACACCTCTTCCTTCATGCTTTACGATGGGAACCACACATGCGGAGATCATCCGTTCACCCACACCGCGTCTCACAAAGACATGGCGGTTGGAACCAAAAATCTCAAATTTGGACTCCAGACCAAAGGACTAATTTCCACCGTTCTAATGTCCATTGCTCGTGTTTCTTGGCCCAAGCAGGTCTCTTCTTCTTTTTGGTGTCCTTTAGTAATGGTTTCTTTGCAGCAATACAACCATGAAGGCCTGATTCACACAGTCCCCTCTGAACAGTTGATGTTGAGATTTGTCTGTAACTTGAACTCTGTGAAGCATTTATTTGGGGGACAATTTCTGAGGCTGGTAACTCTAATGAACTCATCCTCTGCAGCAGCGGTAACTCGGCAAGACGGAGCTGCTCTTCCTCCCGGGGAAGGACTGCCCGCTCCATGATCTCGCCATCACGGTTGACAACTCCGTTGTGTCCTCCTCCCAGAGTGCAAAGAACCTTGGCGTGACCCTGGATAACACCCTGTCATTCTCCGCTAACATCAAAGCGGTGACCCGATCCTGTAGGTTCATGCTCTACAACATTCGCAGAGTACGACCCTACCTTACACAGGAAGCGGCACAGGTCCTAATCCAGGCACTTGTCATCTCCCGTCTGGATTACTGCAACTCGCTGTTGGCTGGGCTCCCTGCCTGTGCCATTAAACCCCTACAACTCATCCAGAACGCTGCAGCCTGTCTGGTGTTCAACCTTTCCAAGTTCTCTCACGTCACCCCGCTCCTTCGCACACTCCACTGGCTTCCAGTTGAAGCTCGCATCTGCTACAAGACCATGGTGCTTGCCTACGGCGCTGTGAGGGGAACGGCACCTCCTTACCTCTGGCCTGCTGGTCCCCCTACCTCTGCGGAAGCACAGTTCCCGCTCAGCCCAGTCAAAACTGTTCGCTGCTCTGGCACCCCAATGGTGAAACAAGCTCCCTCACGACGCCAGGACAGCGGAGTCACTGACCATCTTCCGGAGACACTTGAAACCCTACCTCTTTAAGGAATACCTGGGATAGTATAAAAGTAATCATTCTACCCCACCCCCACAAAAAAATTAAAAAAATAATAATAAATAATAAACATTAATAATGATAAAAAATTTACGAAATTAAAAAACAATAAAAAAAACTATATATATATACACACAGTGGGGGAAAACGTTTTTAGTCAGCCACCAATTGTGCAAGTTCTCCCACTTAAAAAGATGAGAGGCCTGTAATTTTCATCATAGGTACACGTCATCTATGACAGACAAAATGAGAAAAAATATCCAGAAAATCACATTGTAGGATTTGTAATGAATTTATTTGCAAATTATGGTGAAAAATAAGTATTTGGTCAATAACAAAAGTTTCTCAATACTTTGTTATATACCCTTTGTTGGCAATGACACAGGTCAAACGTTTTCTGTAAGTTTTCACACACTGTTGCTGGTATTTTGGCCCATTCCTCCATGCAGATCTCCTCTAGAGCAGTGATGTTTTGGGGCTGTCGCTGGGCAACACAGACTTTCAACTCCCTCCAAAGATTTTCTATGGGGTTGAGATCTGGAGACTGGCTAGGCCACTCCAGGACCTTGAAATGCTTCTTACGAAGCCACTCCTTCGTTGCCCAGGCGGTGTGTTTGGGATCATTGTCATGCTGAAAGACCCAGCCACGTTTCATCTTCAATGCCCTTGCTGATGGAAGGAGGTTTTCAGTCAAAATCTCACGATACATGGCCCCATTCATTCTTTCCTTTACACGGATCAGTCGTCCTGGTCCCTTTGCAGAAAAACAGCCCCAAAGCATGATGTTTCCACCCCCATGCTTCACAGTAGGTATGGTGTTCTTTGGATGCAACTCGGCATTCTTTGTCCTCCAAACACGACGAGTTGAGTTTTTACCAAAAAGTTATATTTTGGTTTCATCTGACCATATGACATTCTCCCAATCCTCTTCTGGATCATCCAAATGCACTCTAGCAAACTTCAGACGGGCCTGGACATGTACTGGCTTAAGCAGGGGGACACGTCTGGCACTGCAGGATTTGAGTCCCTGGCGGCGTAGTGTGTTACTGATGGTAGGCTTTGTTATTTTGGTCCCAGCTCTCTGCAGGTCATTCACTAGGTCCCCCCGTCTGGTTCTGGGATTTTTGCTCACCGTTCTTGTGATCATTTTGACCCCACGGGGTGAGATCTTGCGTGGAGCCCCAGATCGAGGGAGATTATCAGTGGTCTTGTATGTCTTCCATTTCCTAATAATTGCTCCCACAGTTGATTTCTTCAAACCAAGCTGCTTACCTATTGCAGATTCAGTCTTCCCAGCCTGGTGCAGGTCTACAATTTTGTTTCTGGTGTCCTTTGACAGCTCTTTGGTCTTGGCCATAGTGGAGTTTGGAGTGTGACTGTTTGAGGTTGTGGACAGGTGTCTTTTATACTGATAACAAGTTCAAACAGGTACCATTAATACAGGTAACGAGTGGAGGACAGAGGAGCCTCTTAAAGAAGAAGTTACAGGTCTGTGAGAGCCAGAAATCTTGCTTGTTTGTAGGTGACCAAATACGTATTTTCCACCATAATTTGCAAATAAATTCATTAAAAATCCTACAATGTGATTTTCTGGATTTTCTTTTCTCAATTTGTCTGTCATAGTTGACGTGTACCTATGAAAAAAATTACAGGCCTCTCATCTTTTTAAGTGGGAGAACTTGCACAATTGGTGGCTGACTAAATACTTTTTTTCCCCACTGTATATATATAAACAAATGAACATAAAAAATATACTCTACAAATAAAAAATTAGAAAAATATGACAAATTAATTGTAAAGTGGTTGTCCCACTGGCTATCATAAGGTGAATGCACCAATTTGTAAGTCACTCTGGATAAGAGCGTCTGCTAAATGTAAATGTATCTCTGGGTCTTCCATTCCTGTGGCGGTCCTCATGAGAGCCAGTTCCGTCATAGCACTTGATGGTTTTTGCGATTGCACTTGAAATGTTCCGTATTGACTGACCTTCATGTCTTAAAGTAATGATGGACTGTCGTTTCACTTTGCTTATTTGAGCTGTTCTTGCCATAATATGGACTTGGTCTTTTACCAAATAGGGCTATCTTCTGTAAACCCCCCCCCCCCCCCCCCCTACCTTTTCACAACACAACTGATTGGCTCAAACGCATTAAGAAGGAAAGAAATTCCACAGATTAACTTTTAACAAGGCACACCTGTTAATTGAAATGCATTCCAGGTGACTACCTCATGAAGCTGGTTGAGAGAATGCCAAGAGTGTGCAATGCTGTCATCAAGGCAAAGGGTGGCTATTTGAAGAAACTGAAATATAACATATCTTTTGATTTAACACTTTTTTTGGTTACTACATGATTTCATATGTGTTATTTCATAGTTTTGATATCTTCACTGTTATTCTACAATGTAAAAATAAAGAAACCCTTGAATGAGTAGGTGTGGCCAAACTTTTGACTGGTAGTGTATGTAAATGAGATATTTCTGTATTAGATTCTTCAATACATTTGCAACAATTTCTAAAAACATGTTTTCATTTTGTCATTATGGGGTGTAGACGTTTGAGAAAAAAAATCTATTTAATCCCTTTTGAATTCAGGCTGTAACACAACAAAATGTGGAATAGGTCAAGGGGTATGAATACTTTTGAAGGCACTGTAGCTAGATAATAATGCAAGTAGTAAGTACTATACCAAACTACCAGTGATGTAGGCCAGAATAATAACTGGTGGGTAAACTCTGATCACGTGTCTGCAAAAAGTTGAAAACTGCCTGGCAAAAAGAAAATGTGTGTAAACTGTGTTTACTTGCGTTTATCTTCCGCTACACCACTACAAACAAAAGCTAGTTACACACTCAATCTAGGCCTATTACACTTCAGTGAGCATGCAGCAGTGCAGAAGGGCAACGTTCCACTCAACTGTCTCTCAGCCGCAAATGGTGCCGTGTACTGCTTCTGCATTCATCCCGGTCATCAGCAACATACCACTAGGTCAGGTTCTTCTGATCTCAATATGTTAGCAAAGGTTAGTCCCTGCAATCCATAGCCCTTTTTTAGACTATCTCCTTTAAGACAATTGACAAATATGGTGGAAATGGTATGCCTTGTGACACCCCCCCCCCCATGCCTATAATTACTTTTGTCATCACACTATCATATGTTTTCTGACCATTTTTATTTATTTGTGAAATGCTAGGAAGTGCTAATGACACTTATGCAGGGGGTATAATCAGGGTGTCAAGGCAAAATACTGCAACGCATGTAGGTGTCATTACATTATTACATTTATCATTTTTATAAATTGAGTGATGCATGCTATGAAGCTGTTTGTTATGGTGGCAAGTTCAGGTAAAGTGTTAGTCATTTTTGATTCCAAATGCATGTTATGTACCTGCACTTTTCTGTAATTCTACCTCCAGGAAGTGAATCTCTTGGGTTTAGCCCAAGTACCGCAGTCTCTGTGGTCTTAGAAGATGACGGGACAATAGTTGAAGATGAGGCCTATTTCTTGTGCTTACCTACAAACACAAAGTTCATGCTCTTGCATGAAAAAGAGACGTGGGCCCCACAACGAAGAAGTAAGCTTTTTTGTTCTGTCAATGCAAATTTGAATTGTCATATTCGGCTATAGTCATTGATCACACAATAGTAGGCTTAAACAGTCATTTTGCGGTTTCTAAGTTGATCTATCCGCAGTTTGAGTCAACCTCTTGGGAAAGCACATCCTCTGACATTCTATGCTTTTTTTGCTTGTTTTTTTGGGCTAACTAGCTAAAGATCCAAACTCTGTTCTTTGATTACGTGGCATTGGTCATCTGTCTTAGCTCTCCCAGGTTGCATTCCCATACTAACGCATAGTGATTTTCTTCCATGCTACTATAGTTGATGGCGGCACAGCTTGGATGACCAGGGAGTCTGTGAATTTTGAGAGCGACGTTGTGGACAGCTCAATCAGTGGGATCGAGCCCTGGTTCTACCTGGCCCAGCAACTCAAGAACGACCTGGCTAGCATCATACTGATGTCGGAGGCAGATTTACAAGTAGGATAACTTCAATAACATTCCCACCTCCTCCCATCTCCCCTCTCACATTCAAATGTATGAATATGGAACATCTTGTTAAAATTAGGTCCTATTCTGTCAGATAAAAGCAAAATATATGGCTACAGTGGGTATACATATTGTGTAGACTACTTCAATACAAAGACCCCCTTGGCATATTTTTTATGTGCTTGAGGAAAGCTGTATGTGTAATAGTGAGAATAAATATACATGTTGCTTGTTCCAGACGCTAGTGGACGTACCTTGTTTAGAGCTGGCCTCAGCCCTGGGCTTCCTGGAGAGCAAGGTGCTGAATCTCCAGGACACTCTACAGAGAGTGTTGGACCGCAGGGAGGAAGAGCGACAGTCCAAGGAACTGCTCCAGCTCTTCCTCACAGCAGTGGAGAGAGCGGACAGTCAAGAGGCAGAGCCTAGAAATGACGGTGAGACTGCTATCAGGAAAAAAATTGGATCAATCTTATAGGAGATCCAGCTGTGTGAAAATGAAATGTGAGTGGAAATGCCATTTGGAGTGAGCATAATGAGGGAAGGCATTTTAACTTCACCTCAAAAGTTGTGGTAGAGTTTGTGTAAAAGCCGTGTGTGGCTTTTTTGTCACTAGATGGAGCCATTGTTTAGGCAATAGACAACTAGCCCTGAAATATTGCCTCTAAACCTCTGGCTCAGCCAAGTTGTGTTGTGAGAGACATTATGTTCTACCATATTCCATGTCTCACAGGGTCGGGTGATGTGGATGTGACAGATGGGCTGGAGGTGGATTCAGCATCAGGATTCATGTCCAGGACGCTGATGGTCCTCAAGGGTAAAACAAGCCCTGAGACCAGGCTCTCCAATGAGGAGCTGCAGGTATGTCACAAAGACCAACGGCTACACTCACTGTATTTGGTATACAGGATCATATTAATAGACTAAAGTGGACCCCTCTCCTTGTCTACTTTCCTTCATCTGCATTGATATGAAAGAGCATGCATTGTGAAAACAAATTCCCTGGTAGGTATCCACAGTATTACAGTGATATGTCCTAAGTTATTCAGTTTAGTGCACAGAAAGGAGAGAAGAGGAGAGAAAAATACTTTACATTATTGAGATGCACTGGATTGCGTCCCAATTCTCCCGAAAGAGTTCACTCCTCCCCACGTATTTAAAAGCATTGGATTGGTGTAAGCAATCTGGTCTAAGGCACTGCATCTCAGTGCTTGAGGCGTCACTACAGACCCCCTGGTTCAATTCCAGGCTGTATCACAACCGGCCGTGATTGGGAGTCCCATAGGGCGGCGTACAATTGGCCCAGCGTCGTCCAGGTTTGGCCGGTGTAGGCCGTCATTGTAAATAAGAATTTGTTCTTAACTGACTTTCCTAGTTAAATAAAGGTGAAATAAAAAATTAATAAAGCATAGGCTAGAGGGAGTTTATTACACAGGTCCTTCCCTTTTTTAAAGCCATGAAGGGAAGTGAACAAACACACACTTAAAGTAGAAGGGTAGAGAATATGGACGTATTAAATTGTTTCCTTTCCACCACATGAGGGAAATGGGAAGGCTGCAAAGCTAGAAGTACAGTATATGTGAGAATTTCTATATCCTCTCCACTGGGTGGCACTATCACTCTGCACTCTTGTTTTCAGTATACACAGCATGTGAAAATGGACTGCCTAACAGTACATATTTTATCAAGCTGTTAACTCTATCACCAAACAACAAAACTACATGCCATTTTTTTTTTATTACAAGTGCCTGTAAATATGCCAAGTCATCCTGACAACAATAAATAAGTTTAGAGGAGTTCTAATAAGCGCACTGTATGCCAAGGAATTGCATCTCTTATATTGAATACTAGTTATGTCCTAACTGTATCTGTTTGAAATCCAAAATCAAGGGCTTTTAACACCACTTAGTATACTCTTTGAGCTTCTTATCTCCCAAGTCAATTGTCTTTGAAAACAATGTCAATTAAATTGAACAAAATTAATGTAAGAACATTTACTTATTAAGTCTTTGCATTATATTCTTCCAATGTGGTCCATTGACATTCATCAACCATGAGCAACGAATGCAAGTCTCTGCCATGTCTATACAGCACAGAGACTAGCCTATCCCCCATCTCTGCACTTTTGTCACTGATGTCTTTCTCAGAATAGATTGCAGTTCCGATTTTAGCTGTATACAACATTAAATGAACCAAACCAAAACGTTGTCAACTGCAGATGGTGGTGAACAAAGGTGCACGGGCCATGGAGCAAGTCCTTGGCTGGGACTCTGAGAGGACATTGGCGCTGCTGCAGGCATGCAAGGAGCAATTGAGCAAGCGGCTCCAGCAGGTTCAGGCCATGCAGTCCCTCAGTAGCCACACACAACAACAGGCCAGCACGCAGCCCTCCGACAAGAGCCAAGCTACACAAGCCAAGCGCAGCAAGTAAGGAGTAGGGGGAAGTTGCCCTTACACGCTGATCTTGGGTCAGTTTAGCATTTTCCCCACTTATGGTTATGGTAAGGGAAGGGGAAGCTGATCCTAAATCTGTACCTAGGGAAACTTCACCCCGGAGCCAGCTAGTAATACCCCTCTGTCTCTGTCTCTGACCACAGAACACACACTACCTGCCTTAAGACTGAGACAATAAGTCACTTTGTATCGACATACATTGCCCTCCGTCAGTATTGGGATGGTGAAGCATTTTTTCTTGAAATCAAACAATGACTGATGTTAAAGTGCACACTGTGAGCATTAACTTGAGGGTACTTTCATCTATATCAGGTGAGCCGTTTAGAAAATACATCACTATTTGTAAATCTAATTTATCATTATTCATGATTCATTCAGGATTATCCGTAATCATGGGAGCATCCACATTAATGTAGAAGTGTTAGAAACAACAAAAGTGACTCCAAAATGACACAATACATTATTTACCATTCATTTCTATTGGGCACAAAATAATCTAAAACACAACCAAAATAAACAGCAAATGCATCCAACTAATTTGTAGTCACAAGCTTAATGTAGTCAATGTGTGCTATGAATATGAGACCAAATACTTAACCTTTGACTACTATAATACATATAAGTGAATTTGTCCCAATACTTTTGGTCCCCTAAAATGGTATGTACAAAAAGTGCTGTACTTTCTAAACGGTTCACCTGATATGGATGAACATTACCTCAAATTAAATCTGACAGTCTGCACTTTAACCGCATAGTCATTGTTTGATTTCAAATCCAAACTTTTGGAGTATAGAGCCAAAATAAGAATAAATGCTTGACTGTCCCAATAATTACGGAGGGCACTGTATATCGCCTCCTGGTATCAATTCATTCTTAGAAACGCTGACATTATTTGCCAAATGGCTTTGGTGCCCCTTTTCTGATTAAACCACATGACGGGTATCTCTTTAGGTACATTCAATAAGTAGAATAGTTATTAGCATAGGTAGATGTTAATGACCAGAACAATTAGGGATGGACCAACTCCGAATTACAGTATATGCAGATATTCATAGCAATGACAGTGGGTTACCCTTTTGATATGTTGTCTTGGTTTTAACTGGCCTCTACTCCTCCGGTACTTAACCTACTCAGGAGAAAAGTGTGACACAATGCCTGAATCTTGCCCCTGGAAGCTGTAACCAAATTATGATTTATGTTAACTTAAATTGTTTTGTTTGTAAGCAAATAGCTTGGACAATCCATTTGTGGTCGAAGATTGATAACCCAGTGATCTGTTGACATTATAGTTAAGCCTGTTTGCCTGAAGATTTAAAATGAGGGCTGTCAATTCCATACCTGTCAATGTAACTTAAGTGTTGTCATTTTGTATACTGGATCATTGACATGCCTCCTAAAACCTTGCCAAATATCTTGCTTTCCCTTTAGTAAATTACTTGTTTTGACTGCTCTGCATATTATTACTAACCAATATACATAAAATGTACTTGCAACTTAGAATTAATTCTTTATTGGAAACAATCAGAATTGTTTTACCTATCAGTACTTAAACCCTGTATATTTAGGAATGTTAATGTAAGAAAGGATATGAGATTTGATATGTGATTGTGATGTAAGCGTGCGTCCGTGTAGTGTGTGCCCATGTGAGCTATCTGGTTGTATTGACCGTACAGCCTTGTTTATAGGACAGACTTAAAGGGCTGTAAGATCACATTTGAAACCAGTTGTTTACAACAAGAACATGGTGGCAGCAAGGAGAGGCACATGTCATGACAATGAGATGTCAACAGATTTATATATACAGTAAAGTGTATTCAAGGCATTTATGGTGACAAACTGATTGTCACCATACTATTAATTGAAATGCTCTTAAGTCCATTACGCACTCTTTATTGCTTCCAATGTTCCTTGAAAGAAAAAGGTGTGTGTTGAGTTTGAAATGGTGCATCTTGGGAGCCCTTTGCATGAAATTAATGAACATGTACGTACTGTACATATGTTTTATCATTAACATTTTAAGCCACAGAGACTTGTGTAACCACAAAGTTTTGCATTGTGATTCATGAGGCTTTTTTTAATGGAACTGTTTCAAATGGAACTAACGTGGCAAGCGGAGTGTGTTAACAAGTATGACAGCTTTTCTACAATAAATAGTCCAAGTACTCAAAGCGCACAATCCTGACATCACTGTGTTTTCATTCACAACTTTCATTTACTGCTTGTTATTTTTCCCAGTGTATATAAAAATTTGCTTCCCATCCATGGACAGAATGATAATGTAATGCTGGATGTTTTTTAATGAGTTACCGGCTGTAGAGGATTGCCTCAGGAAGACTAGAGGAAGACCACTATAGGTCATAGGACATTTGAGCCACCGTTAAATGGTAAAGTTAACTCACGGGTTGTGATGCCAGGATACTCTTCTCTGTATCGTCTATATATTGATCCAGAGAAAAAACATTATGGAATGTTGATATTAAGTTATTTTATACATCATGGTGTGTACAGTATGTTTGGTCCTAAGATACAATTGTAATGGAATAATGATGGGTGTGAGGGAAAGGAGGTGAATGGCTATGTATTTTTGCTGTATGTGTCTCGACAGTCAGTTGATGGGTTTCATGGTGTGCGTAATTCCTGTGATATTACTTCCGCTTAACCAGTGTTCCCGGCTCTGTCGTAGCCTGCCGCGACCGGGAGACCCATGGGGCGTCGCACAATTGGCCCAGCGTAGTCCATGGTAGGGGAGGGAATGGCTGGCAGGGATGTAGCTCAGTTGGTAGAGCATGGCGTTTGCAACGCCAGGGTTGTGGGTTCGATTCCCACGGGGGGCCAGTATAAAAATAATGTGAAAAAAAATAAAATAAATACATTGTATGCACTCACTAACTGTAAGTCGCTCTGGATAAGAGCGTCTGCTAAATGACTAAAATGTAAAAATTTAAATGTTCCCGGAATGAGCAGAAATGACATGCATGCAGTGTGTGAAGTGTCTCAGCATTTTGGGGGTTTTTGATTGGGATTTGAATAGGGTTATATAAATATTATTTCAGAATATTTCCTTTTGTTTTGCATCAACTATCGATCTGAATGTAAACCAAATCTTTCAACCATGTTTTAGTGGTAGACATTAAACAAAACAATTATGGCCTTCAAGCACGATAGATCCTTTTACTCTAAATGTCAAGGTAATGTCATCTGATGGGTCATTGTCCATGAGAAGTCACGCTCATCTTTTCACAAGAAACTGTTGGCCTTCGAAAAAATAAAGTTAGGCCCATGCTAGAGGCAATTTGTGAGAACTACAGTGTTTTCTCTCCCTCCAACAATGGCACTTTAAAAAAGGGGCAATCTGGGATTGACACATCCATTTGTGGACTTTTTAAGTTAATGATAGCCTATAGCCATTGATTGTGGATATAAATTATAAATGCCTCATGAGCTCAATTCAACTGTCTTACTCCATTGCAACCCACAACTAATTGTTTTACTATTATTTCTATAAACAATGTAATTATAAACACACTGCTTAGATTCACAACATGATTAAAACTATAATTTTGATCTCATAGAATAGAGATGGTCAATCCCTGCATCCATGGTTCTATCTATGAATTTGAGAGTGATTACATTTATCTAGCCCCATCCCTTAGCTGCTTGCTAAAGTGTCTGAGAACAGGCAATTTCATCAGAGTGAAGCACCGTATAATATCAGTTTTTATAGATAAGTAGCTAGGGAGCACCAAGAATAAATGCATATTGTATGAAGGTTAAACAACTACAAATCATTGCTTCTTAGACGGAAGACATAGCAGCAGCTAATTTGACTTTTAAACTACTTTACTGCATTCATTTAGTGCTTCAAGTGCCTGTTGCTTTTATGGAACCTATCAGACCGAGTAACTGTTTGCATATAGTAAAGTTATTTATATGTTACTGAGTAGTAAAAGGCATGCTTTATCTTAAGGAAGAGTGATCATTTGAATTAACCATGATATTGATATGCACATGTCATGCCTGACTTTGTATGGCTGACCAATCTGGGTTTATTGAGGGTCACTACAATATCTGCTACCTTCTGAAAACCATTGGATATTACAACAATGACAATATTACGACAGTATTTTTATTTTGGGAGGTACATGTTACATCAGAAACCAGAGGGAAAAATAGTGAATATGGGTATTTATCTGAATACGTTGGAACTATTGATGCCTAGTGTCTCTTTAGTTATACTAGCTATTGAGATTTTGGCCATTTGACGAACTAATTTATAGATATGGCCCAGAGTTTTTTGTGGTAAGGTCATGTGATCAGGTTAAACTCTGGGGCCTTTGTTGCAGTAACATCGGATGTTCATTGAAGTCGAGGTAAAGGTGGGCACGTCTAGGGTTCTGATGTGCTTTGATCCGTAGGAGTTTGTTCTCCTCTGCTTGGCAGTGTACTGCATGACAGCACCCCATTTCAAGGAGTCCTGTTAGTCTGTCTCCTAGTCATTGTTGCACTTATTGTGTAGTCTTTCTTCTGACCTCTGCATCGATACAGGCATACAAAGATTGCTCTAAACAAAACGCTTTTAAAGCTACAGTCTGGGATAGTAGTAGACTGCCCTGATTGAAGCTGTGAAGATGCCTGAGAGAACATCAGGACAGAGGTTGTCACTGTAGCATCACATTCATCATCTTCATAGGAGATTATGAAATTACTGTGTGAAGGTATCAGGTGTGGAAACTGTAGTGAGTTAGGATAAGAAGGAAAATACTGTCTCATCTCACCGTCATTCCTGGTCTTTTGAGCCTCCCTAGCTCTCCAGTCTCTACGTTACTTTTAAGAGCCTCAACCTTGCTCTGCTCAATCTCCCTGTTGCTTTAAGAGCCTCCACCTTGGTCTTCAGAACCTTCTCATTGGTCTGGAAAGCCTCCACCTTGGTCTCCAGCCTTCACTTTGGTCTCACTGGCATTCAGTATGTCCTTTAAATTATATTAGGATCTTCAGGAGGACCTTAGGTTACTCCTCCAGGGCCTTGAACAGAAACCTGAATGGAATTGGGATCCTCAGCCCCACACACACACACACCACTGAACAGCAACAACAGCACAGCTACCACCGACTTCATAAGCACATTATAGAATATAATTGAGTAGAATAGATTAGAATAGTCCAAAAACATGGGGATGGGGGAGGTGTTGAAAAACCCAACAGCAATCACAAACACACACTACTAATCATCAAACTAAACAACAGAAAGCACACATGATAAACCCACACCATTTCACCATCTGCCGCAGTACAAACAAGATTCAAAAAGAAAAAAGCTGAATGCATAATGTACATTTCCATCCATGTACTCACGCTGGGGTAGGTGTCCTGTCTCTCAGTATGTCAGTACCCAGTGGACACATCAGCACATTTATATAATTTTATTGTTGATATGACCATCATTGTTAGACGTCATGTCCTACATTTCAATCATTTTTGGTTCACATTCTATAGGGGTGAAGTGTGTGTGTGTGAGGGGAGGGGAGGGGAGGGGGTTGGGGTTTGGAGGAATGTAATACTGCAGGATGTAAGTTAAGGAACTGATCATGATTACAGTAAACCCTAAATAACAACCAAACCACACCAGAGGGGTATCCTATGATGCAAGCTAGATCTACTCAGGGTTTTATTACTTATCGTTAATGCCTTCTTTGGTGTGGTTATCAATGCATGAGCACCTTTTTTCCCCACTCCTATCGATAAAATAATGTCATAATTTTATTTGTCATACAAAAGTTTTACTGTGCGTAAAGTTTCAAATGCATTCTGCCATTACTATCTTCTTCCTCAAATGAAGGGGATGATGACAAAATCTTTGCGAGAGGAAGGGAATCTGATTTCATTGGTCTTTAACTTGCGGCACAGAAACTTCATTCAGGGTAAATGGAGTTAGCCCTTAGTTAGCCTGCCCCTGAGCAGGTTAGTTCTGAAGGATTTGTTGCCGTAGAAATGTACCTGGCTGGAAGGTGAGCCACATTTTTTTAAAGGGGGTAGATCAGCTTTAATATTGCAGATAGATTGTAACTTCCATCAATGTAATTGTCTGCATCACTTCCAATCCCCCATATGTCCCCCCCCCCCCCCCCCGCATATATACAGTGAGGGGAAAAAAGTATTTGATCCCCTGCTGATTTTGTACGTTTTCCCACTGACAAAGACATGATCAGTCTATAATTTTAATGGTAGGTTTATTTGAACAGTGAGAGACAGAATAACAATAGTACTTGGTGGCAAAACCCTTGTTGGCAATCACAGAGGTCAGACGTTTCTTGTAGTTGGCCACCAGGTTTGCACACATCTCAGGAGGGATTTTGTTCCACTCCTCTTTGCAGGTCTTCTCCAAGTCATTAAGGTTTTGAGGATGACGTTTGGCAACTCGAACCTTCAGCTCCCTCCACAGATTTTCTATGGGATTAAGGTCTGGAGACTGGCTAGGCCACTCCAGGACTTTAATGTGCTTCTTCTTGAGCCACTCCTTTGTTGCATTGTCATGCTGGAATACCCATCCACGACCCATTTTCAATGCCCTGGCTGAGGGAAGGAGGTTCTCACCCAAGATTTGACGGTACGTGGCCCCGTCCATCGTCCCTTTGATGCAGTGAAGTTGTCCTGTCCCCTAATCAGAAAAACACCTCCAAAGCATAATGTTTCCACCTCCATGTTTGACAGTGGGGATGGTGTTCTTGGGGTCATAGGCAGCATTCCTCCTCCTCCAAACACGGCGAGTTGAGTTGATGCAAAAGAGCTCGATTTTGGTCTCATCTGACCACAACACTTTCACCCAGTTCTCCTCTGAATCATTCAGATGTTCATTGGCAAACTTCAGACGGCCCTGTGTGTGCTTTCTTGAGCAGGGGGACCTTGCGGGCGCTGCAGGATTTCAGTCCTTCACGGCGTAGTGTGTTACCAATTGTTTTCTTGGTGACTATGGTCCCAGCTGCCTTGAGATCATTGACAAGATCATCCCGTGTAGTTCTGGGCTGATTCCTCAACGTTCTCATGATCATTGCAACTCCACGAGGTGAGATCTTCATGGAGCCCCAGGCCGAGGGAGATTGACAGTTCTTTTGTGTTTCTTCCATTAGCGAATAATCGCACCAACTGTTGTCACCTTCTCACCAAGCTGCTTGGCGATGGTCTCCTTAGTTGCCCTGGCTGTGTGTTTTGGGTCGTTGTCATGCTGGAAGACCCAGCCACGACCCATCTTCAATGCTCTTACTGAGGGAAGGAGGTTGTTGGCCAAGATCTCGCGATACATGGCCCCATCCATCCTCCCCTCAATACGGTGCAGTCGTCCTGTCCCCTTTGCAGAAAAGCATCCCCAAAGAATGATGTTTCCACCTCCATGCTTCACGGTTGGGATGGTGTTCTTGGGGTTGTACTCATCCTTCTTCTTCCTCCAAACACGGCAAGTGGAGTTTAGACCAAAAAGCTCTTATTTTTGTCTCATCAGACCACATGACCTTCTCCCATTCCTCCTCTGGATCATCCAGATGGTCATTGGCAAACTTCAGACGGGCCTGGACATGCGCTGGCTTGAGCAGGGGGACCTTGCGTGCGCTGCAGGATTTTAATCCATGACGGCGTAGTGTGTTACTAATGGTTTTCTTTGAGACTGTGGTCCCAGCTCTCTTCAGGTCATTGACCAGGTCCTGCCGTGTAGTTCTGGGCTGATCCCTCACCTTCCTCATGATCATTGATGCCCCACGAGGTGAGATCTTGCATGGAGCCCCAGGGTGATAGACCGTCATCTTGAACTTCTTCCATTCTCTAATAATTGCACCAACAGTTGTTGCCTTCTCACCAAGCTGCTTGCCTATTGTCCTGTAGCCCATCCCAGCCTTGTGCAGGTCTACAATTTTGTACGTTTGCCCACTGACAAAGACATTATATATATTATACAATTGTATCCCTGATGTCCTTACACAGCTCTCTGGTCTTGGCCATTGTGGAGAGGTTGGAGTCTGTTTGATTGAGTGTGTGGACAGGTGTCTTTTATACAGGTAACGAGTTCAAACAGGTGCAGTTAATACAGATAATGAGTGGAGAACAGGAGGGCTTCTTAAAGAAAAATTAACAGGTCTGTGAGAGCTGGAATTCTTACTGGTTGGTAGGTGATCAAAAACTTATGTCATGCAATAAAATGCAAATTAATTACTTAAAAATCATACAATGTGATTTTCTGGATTTTTGTTTTAGATTCCGTCTCTCACAGTTGAAGTGTACCTATGATAAAAATTACAGACCTCTACATGCTTTGTAAGTAGGAAAACCTGCAAAATCGGCAGTGTATCAAATACTTGTTCTCCCATTTACATTTACATTTACATTTTAGTCATTTAGCAGACGCTCTTATCCAGAGCGACTTACAGTTAGTGAATACATTTATTTTTTTCTCCCCACTGTATACACATACATACATACATACATACACATACATACATATACATATCCTTTAAAAAAATATATTTCCCTTTAGTACTGTCCAACCCCACCACCCCTTCCCTAATTGGATTTAAAAGAACATGAATCACCAGCATACAATGACAGCTTTGTTTTTAATCCCTGGATTTCTAATCCCTTGGTATTATTGTTGGATCTGATTTTAATAGCTAACATCTCGATGGCCATAATAAATAGATATGCCGATAGTGGACAACCTTGTTTCACTCCTCTTGACAGTTTAAAACTTTCGGAAAAATACCCATTATTTACTATTTTACACCTAGGGTTACCATACATGATTTTAACCCATTTTATAAGAGATTCTCCAAAATTGAAATGCTCCAGGCATTTATATATAAACCCCAGTTGTACTTTATCAAATGCCTTTTCGAAGTCTCCTATGAATAGCAGGCCTGGTTTCCCATATTTTTCATAGTGTTCTATTGTTTCCACTACTTGCCTTATATTATCTCCAATGCATCTTCCATGTAAAAAAAACCTGTCTGATTAGAATGAATAATGTCCGACAATACCTTTTTAATTCTATGCGCTATACATTTTCCTAGAATTTTTTGCATCACAACACTGAAGTGTAAGGGGCCTCCAATTGTTTTAATGGACTGGATCTTTATATTTTCCACTTGTATCCTGTTTCAGTAATAATGAGTTGACCAAAGTTACCTCTCTAACTCCTCAAACCCGATTCGTAGGATACCCCTCTGGTAACAAAAAATTGTCAAAGTTTTGATTGATGGGAAGTTAACTTAACTAATAATGGCAAAAGGTTAACACTCTATTTGAAAGGGAAACTTACTTGCCACTAGCTGCCTGTAAATTACTGGGAAATTCGCAGTAAGCCCTTTACAGTGTTATGTAATTAACACTGGAGTGTTTGCTTGATGAATTAGGCTTTTTATATAATGTGGATGATCAAAGATTTCAGACAAGGAATCACATTGGCATAGCATGTGATATGTTTTAATATTTAAGTTCTACTATGCTTTTTGAACTCCCAAGCTGGTATACTTAATCTTCCATCCCTTGTTTTTCCCTGAGAGGTCCGACCTGAATGAGACGTGTACTTGGTAACTGCCTGTGTCTATCTTGCCAGGTGGAGACGCTCCGCAGAACGGTCCGTACTCTTGTCCTTCGGTCGAGATCTTTGAAGAGAAGGAAAACCTAGTCAGGAACTGCAAGGCCATGCATCTTCCAAGGGGGGACAGCAGACAAAGACAAGTTGCTTCTAGAGCATGAGTAGGAATATATTGTGTATTCATCAGCCCTTGTGTCTTTGATTGGTTCGTTTTAAAGGATGGCCCTACGCTAGTATGCACCGACTGACCTTCAAGACATCGTATGGACAGGGGACATTCGGGTGGCTCTCTACGTCAAATGGTTCCTGGAATTCCAGTACAACTCTGAACCCCTCTGGTAGGAGGATGGTGTAGTTACAATGACTCATTCTGGGGTATGGACTGGGGTATCCCGGGCTGGTCAACTCTCCTGACCTCTCTGTCAGCACCTGACCACTGCAAGGCACTACAGAGGAAAAGACACAGAGAAAATCAAAGTGTTTGTATTAATTTGTTTATTTTCAAGCAGTTTGTTCTCATTGTTTGAAGCACTTATAAAATATATAGCCTATTTATATAAAATGGATAGTAAGTGCAAAAACATTGAGTAGCTTTGCCCTTATTATATTTTAGTGGATTTCAATATCCTTCTGGCATAAGCAATTGGGCTCATTTAAACTGAATTATTACTCTAGTAAGTACACAGATGTTGTAATAGACAACAACAAATCAATATCTCAAAGAGGCAGAGTTGCTGTAATTTATATAATTAGAGAAATTTGAAAGCGGATAATCGTTTTTGTCTATTCATCTCCTGATATGTGGTGTCATTTTATCCTCTGGCTAAGAATAACAATTTAAGGCACGTCCACGTCGGTAATTGTGATTAATTACCTAGCATCAGTGCGCTATTAGTGTTGCAAACAGGTATCAATTTTCTATGCCTTTTCCAGGGAGCTTTTCCCTTAGGAATCTCTAGTAATTAACCTAGCCTTGCGCCAGCTGGCAGAGATCAACTACTTTCTACAGCTCTGCTTCTTCACTCTGAAATTACTTTGTAATCACTCCACTATGCTGTAATGAGCTGCTGTGTGCTTACTTATTTCAAACACGTGGCAGCAGTGTGTCCTGCTCTGAAAGTGCTGTAAATTATATTTAGAGATGGACATAAAGTCTGTTCGGTATTCATGGGATAAGTGAAGGACAAATTGACAGTCAAATGACTATCCTCAGGTGCACTCCCATTTTTCTGTTCTTTAACCTATTAGCATTCAGAAAGTACAAAATACATTCAATATTGTTTTTCTGTTTTCTGGTGAAGAGATATTTCCCCTCAGTTTCTTTGTGCTGTATTCAGAAACCATGGAGAACCACTAAGTGGTATGGATAGGAAAGCCTTTTAGCTGTGTAATGGTCTAAAGCCAATTCTCATTAAATGTGCTATCTCTTTGTATAATTCATGAATATATACATGTATTCATGTTTGAAACCAATCCAAGCTGAGAGAAAAGCATTACATTTGTAAAATGAATTAATCAAAAATGTAGCATAAACTATGTAGGCCCATAGGCTCACAAACACTGCCATCAGTATTAGACCAACAAATCAAATTGTATGAATAATACTCCCTCATTCCATTATAAAAGCACCATGGTATTTCCTGTTTTTTGTCTAGTTTAAATCACCCTTACCAGTGCAGGACCTTTTGTTGTCATGGAGCAGGTATCCCAACCTGCAAGTGCAGTAATAGCCACCAACATAATTGTGACAATAATGGTCACACACAGACTCCCCATCTACCGTGCTGAGGCACTCATTGATGTCTGTGAACAGGGAGAGAGAAGCCAGTTAATATAGACCTACAAGAATAATGTTACATTTGGGTTGTAGATACAAAACTACATTCAAAGATGGGTTCCAGTTCATTGAGGATGCATTGATAACACTTCAGTTATACATAATTATGTATAATTGATAATTAAGGGATTTACAAGCAGTTTTAGAATAAACATAATTATTAGTGTATAGATTATACAAGTATAGAAACAAGTAAAGTGAAATTCATACACTACCAGTCAAAAGTTTGGACACACCTACTCATTCAATGGTCTTTATTTTTACTATTTTTTACATTGTAGAATAATAGTGAAGACATCGAAACTATGAAATAACACATATGGAATCATGTAGTAACCAAAAAAGTGTTAAACAAATCTAAATACATTTGATATTTTATATTCTTCAAAGTAGCCACCCTTTTCCTTGATGACAGCTATGCACACTCTTGGCATTCTCTCAACCAGTTTCTTGTGACAAGGTAGGGTTAGTATACAGAAGATAGCCCTATTTGGTAAAATACCAAGTATTATGGCAAGAACAGCTCAAATAAGCGAAGTGAAACGACAGTCCATCATTACTTTAAGACATGAAGGTCAGTCAATACGGAACATTTCAAGAACTTTGAAAGTTTCTTCAAGTGCAGTCGCAAAAACCGTCAAGCGCTATGATGAAACTGGCTCTCATGAGGACCGCCACAGGAATGGAAGACCCAGAGTTACCTCTGCTGTAGAGGATACGTTCATTAAAGTTACCAGCCTCAGAAATTGCTGCCCAAATAAATGCTTCACAGAGTTCAAGTCACAGACACATCTCAACATCAACTGTTCAGAGGGGACTGTGTGAATCAAGCATTCCAGGTGACTGTTGGAAAAGCATTCCAGGTGAAACTGGTTTAGAGAATGCCAAGAGTGTGCATAGCTGTCATCAAGGAAAAGGGTGGCTATTTGAAGAATCTTAAATAGAAAATATATTTTGATTTGTTTAACACTTTTCTGGTTACTACATGATTCCATATGTGTTAGTTTTGATGTCTTCACTATTATTCTACAATGTAGAAAATAGTAAAATTAAAGAAAAACCCTTGACTGAGTAGGTGTGTCCAAACCTTTGACTGGTACTGTAAATTATTTTTCAGAAGTAGTCATTTATATTGCACATTCATAGGCACATTTATTTTGGTCCGAAGCAGGACGATTAAGTACTGCAATATAGGCAATAGAGTCTGACCAGTCATCTTGGGTCAGGGGCCTTTTTGTCCTAATTCCCCTACTGACTTGGGTATTCTGGGATCATTATACCTACTGGTTTATATTGCTAGTTGGTTGGTGTGGTGGAAATTTCTGAGGAGTCGTGATTTGGGGTTCTCTGTATAGAACTACCTTCTGTAGTCTGCCCCCAACAGCAATGGTCTGACAGCACCATTGTCAACATTCGTCTACTAAAGAAGATACATTTTTTTTATATATATTGTTTCCCAAGGGTTGTGCATGAATGATCCCAATGTGAGTTATCCAGTCTCCTGTATTCCTGACCCAGAGCTAGCCCTCTATCTTTATTCCTTTGGTGGATAAACACACACCTTTTAAAGAATATAGTCAAGAACAGATCAAATCCTTGGTATTCCTCTGATCTTTCTGAGTTTATTCAGATGAGGAACCAGGCTTAGGCAAAAGCAAGGAAAACTGACTCTAACAGATTAGCAATCTTTCAGACAATTTAGAAACAGATGTATTATCTCGACTAAGAAAGCTAAATCCAGCTACTTTTTAAGCTCTATCTCTGACTCTGCTGGTGATCCTTCTACATTTTGGGAATTCACTGAAGTGTACAAATTCCTCTTCTTCCCTGCCTAAGCAAGTTATGTCTAACTCTGGCATCATTACTGAAAAGAATGAGATAAGTGATGCTTTTAATCATAATTTTATCTCGTCTTCTTGGTAAGCAACTCCAGTGTAGATTTTGCCTTGTGTTTTAGGTTATTGTCCTGCTGAAAGGTGAATTCATCTCCCAGTGTCTGGTGGAAAGCAGACTGAACCAGGTTTTCCTCTAAGATTTTGCCTGTGCTTAGCTCCATTCTGTTTCTTTTTTATCCTGAAAAACTGCCCAGTGCTTAACGATTACAAGCGTACCCATAACATGATGCAGCCACCACTATGCTTGAAAATATGGAAAGTGGTACTCAGTAATGTGTTGTATTGGATTTGCCCCAAACATAAAATGTAGCATTCAGGACAAAAGGTTAATTGCTGTGCCACATTTTTTACAGTATTACTTTAGTGCATTGTTGCAAACAGGATGCATGTTTTGGAATATTTATATTCTGTACAGGCTTCCTTCTTTTCACTCTTTTAATTAGGTTAGTATTGTGGAGTAACTACAATGTTGTTGATCCATCTTCAGTTTTCTCCTATAACAGCCATTAAACTCTAACTGTTTTAAAGTCACCATTGGCCTCATGGTGAAATCCCTGAGCGGTTTCCTTCCTCTCCGGTAACTGAGTTAGGAAGGACGCCTGTATCTTTATAGTGACTGGGTGTATTGATACACCATCCAAAGTGTAATTAATAACTTCACCATGCTCAAAGGGATTTCAATGTCTACTATTTTTTTTTACCCATCTACCAATAGGTGCCCATTTTTGCGAGGCATTGGAAAACCTCCCTGGTCTTTGTGGTTGAATCTGTTTTTGAAATTCACTGCTCGACTATTGCACACAGAGTGAGTCCATGTAACTTATGTAACTTGTTAAGCACATTTTTACTCCTGAACTTTTTAAAGTTTGCCATAACAAAGTGGTTGAATACTTATTGACTCAAGACAATTCAGCTTTTCATGTTTAATTAATTTGTAAATTTTTCAAAAAACACAGTTACACTTTAACATTTGGGTATTATGTGTAGGTCAGTGACAAAAACAATCTAAATGTAATCCATTTTAAATTCAGGCTGTAACACAACAAATTGTGAAAAAAGTCAAGAGGTGTGAATACTTTCTGAAAGCACTGTATATGAATGCAGCTGCCACATTAAAGCCGTTAGATGCAGTTTATCATAGCACGCTGAGCTCTATTACGGCTGACCGGTTCAATACACATCACTGCATTATTTTCCAGAAAGTAAGCTGGCCCTCTTTTAAGTCTCATAGGTCGATTGATTCACTGCTCTCTTTTTCTTTATAAAGCTCTTTTATAAAAACTCCCGCAGTACCTAACATCATTAATAACCTTTATACATACGAGTTACCGTACCCGGTCTCAGGGATGGCTAACTCTAGAAATTCCTTCGGTTTCCTCAGAGTTATGTAAAACAGCTTTTTGTTTCTTTGCACCCCATGTATGGAACAATCTACAGAGTTCCCTATAATAATAATAATAATAATAATAAAATGCCATTTAGCAGACGCTTTTATTCAAAGCGACTTACAGTCATGTGTGCATACATTTTTACGTATGGGTGGTCCCGTGGATCGAACCCACTACCCTGGCGTTACAAGCGCCATGCTCTACCAATTGAGCTACAGAGGACCACAACATGTTCAACATGTTGATTGTGAACCTCTTTGCTGAGGAATGTGATTGTTTTACTTCAGTGTGTTTGTAATTTTGTATATTTGAATTTTATTGTATTTTGTTAATTGTGTTCATGCAGGGCTCCCTTGTGGAAGAGATCTTGGTCTCAATGGGACTCCCTGTTAAAATAATGGTAAAATAAAATTCTCCTTCACCTTCTGAGGTGTAAAATGCTTGAAAGCCAGTGAAACGCCCCTCGTTGGAGTAGTCACTTCTGAAGACTACCGACATGATGTTCCCAGCCGACAGGATAACTGTGTTCCTGGGGGCGTCTTCATACTCTTTTTCCCCTTCGCCACAGAAACGCAATGTCTCATTGGCCTCTGCAAACACCTAGTTCAACAAGAGCACAGACAGATTTCTAACAAGTTAATGAGTGCATGCAGTTCTTGAGGGTGGTTCTCAGGATCAGTGGAGGCTGGCGGATGGAGAAATGGGGAGAAAGAGCACATTGTAATAAATGTAACGATAGCAAACATATGCAAAAATAATAATAATCTATGAACACAACTTCTTATTATAGATAAATTATCATTTATGAATGCATAACTTTCATTTGCATGTGTTTAATACCGTTCATTCCATTGTAGCCATTAGAATGAGACCTGTCCTCCCCATTTCTCCCTCCACGAGCCTCCACTGCTCAGGACAGTGTTTACCTGAATATAATCGTATTCACAGTGGTGGGAGGGTTCCAGACTGAAGTAGGTGAAGTAGAGTTTAACCCTGTGGCTTTCTGGGACGGAGATGTTCCACACTGTGTGGTGGTTGTTAGGGTATGGGTGAGGGAAGTTGGGGGAAGTGAAGCTGCCAAACAACCCTGTCATTTCCACGCTCAGAGATACAGGAAGCAGGAAGATGAAGACAGATACACAATATGCACTGTGTACCAAAGTGAGATGAAAACATTCAATGCTCAGTCTGTAAGATTTACAGCAATTTCAGCTAATGACGTATACAACTTGATTTATAAGAATATGATTTATACCTTCATAAGATTAGTAAAACTGCCTTACTATATCATAACCAAAACAATGGACCAATTACTCTATTGTTTATGTTTTTTGTTGTCATTGGAGATTTTGTAAACAAATTATGTAAAACTTAAAATCATCAAAGTTATGTTGCTTTCAAGGAATGCCATTCCTTGAGCACTGCATGTTAAAATGTCATCATGGGATGCATTTGCTCCATTGTTGATGTTTTTGTTGGTGGTCCACTCTGTCATATTTATGCACTTTAAAGGGGCAATCTGAAGTTGCTACGTACATTTTTGGACTTATACATTAATTATATGTACCCATAGATCTTTGAAAAAATATTACTTATAAATGCCTCATGAGCTTAGTTCAACTGTCGTATCTCATCAGAACCCAAAATATAAGCTTGTTTTACTCCAATGTTTGTAAACAAAGTAAATGTAAACAAATATTATATAGCCTCAAAACATGGTTAAAATTAAAATGTTGATATCATGGATGGTCAGTCCTTCCATCCATAGCTCTGTCTATGAATTTGAGATTGGTTACATTTCTCCAGCCCCATCCTCAGCTTTTTACCGAAACAGGGGCGGTGAGATCACTTTGTTATTGTTTCAACTGTTGATTGCCCATTTAAAACAAGTGTGGCTTTAGACTACATTTAATTCCTAATGAAGAACTTGCAGTGATAACTTACCTGTTCATCTTGACTGCAGAAGATTCTAGAGGAGCAGTGTCATAGGTTTTGTTTAGTGTCTCAGAACGTTTGACTATCTTTGAACCCTTGTGCTCCCAAGGTTAATGAACCAGCGTCCTGACTAGCCGACTTTGAGCAAACAAACAAAGCATGATGGACTCATTATCAATTTCTCGCTGTTCAGTATTTGTTCCATAACCCTGTTGACTTTCACAGCACCAATCTGGTGCAGACAACTGTTTTTAGACTATTTCTCACTTTATATATATCTACTGTACCAGCACCTGTTGTTGTATATGTTCAGAGACGTATTCCTATAAAAATGAGAGAGGATCTCATGTCATCTTCTTTTAGGGTGCTGTTATAGGCCACCAATTGCTAACAGTCAGTACTTGGATAATACAGTGCCTTCGGAAAGTCTTCAGACCCCTTGACCTTTTCCACATTTTGTTACATTACAGCCTTATTCTAAAATAAAATTAAATCCTCAGCAATCTACACACAAAGTGACAAAGCGAAAACAACAGGTTTTTAGAATTTTTTGCAAATGTCTTAAAAATAAAAAACAGAAATACCTTATTTACATGTTATTCACACGTATTCAGAAATTGTAGTTGAACAAGTAGTTTCATGTATACATTTATTTTTTACTTTACTTGACTTGAAAACTTGTGACTCGACTCGACTTGACTTGCTCTTAGAATGCATGACTTGGACTTGACCCGTTCTACTTTGAACTCGACTTGAGACTCGGACCTTGTGACTTGAGACTTGCTTGTGATTCGAATAATAGTGACTTGGTCCCACCTCTGACTATATCACTAGTAAGGTGGAAAAACTAAGAAGTGAAATGACAACATTGAACAGTGAACCTTCATACTTTTGTATAAAATATCTGATAATGAAAGAGAAGGATTACGGTTTTGAATTTGGTCAAGTTAGTGTGGAGAGGTGGAAAAACGTTTCTAAGATTGGTTCAAATAAATTGATAATAAGATGATAGTTGGAGCTGTATTGGTAGATTTCAGTGCAGCCTTTGACGTGATTGATCATAAATTGTTATTGAAAAATTAACTTGCTATTGCTTTACATCACATGATTGGAGGGTTATTTATCCAATAGAGCCCAGAGAGAATTCTTCAATGGAAGCTTCTCGAACATCAGATATGTACAGTGCGGTGTCCCTCAGGGCAGTTCCCTTGGGTCATTACGCTTCTCTATTTTTACAAATGATTTGCCACTGGTTACACAAAGCTAGAATGACTATGTATGTGGATGATTCCACACTCTACATGTCAGCACCCAAAGCCAGTGAGCTCACTGAAATTCTAAATAAGGAGTTACAGTCAGTATCAGAATGGTTGGTTAATAATAAACTGGTCTTAAATACATCTAAAACTAAAAGCATTGTATTTGAGACCTAAACCTCAACTGGAGTTGTACATAAAGGGTGTGACCATTGAGCAAGTTGAGGAAGTTAAACTCCTAGATATAACATTGGATGGTCAATTATCACGTCATATTGACAAAGTTGTGAAGATACGGAGGGGTATGTCTGTATGTTTTGGTGTTTTTTTACACAAAAATCAACTGTACTGTGCTTCTACCCCCAAGAGATAAGACTGCTAAAAATACTGCACAAAAATAAAAATGCAACATGTAAAGTGTTGGTCCCATGTTTCATAAGCTCAAATAAAATATCCCAGAAAGATCCATACACACAAAAAGCTTATTTCTCTAAAATGTTGTGCACAAATTCATTTACATCCCTATTAGTGAGCATTTATCCTTTGCCAAGATAATCCATCCACCTGACAGGTGTGGCATATCAAGAAGCTGATTAAACAACATTAGTATTACACAGGTTCACAATAAAGGCCACTAAAATGTGGCAGTTTTGTCAAACAACACAATGCCACAGATGTCTCAAGTGTTGAGGGCGCATGCAATTGGCATGCTGACTGCAGGAATGTCCACCAGAGCTGTTGCCAGAGAATTGAATGTTTATTTCTCTACCATAAATCGCCTCCAACATTGTTTTAGAGAATTTGGCAGTACGTCCAACCGGCCTTACAACCGCAGACCACATGTAACCACGCTAGCCCAGGACCTCCACAGACGGCTTCTTCACCTGCAGGATCGTCTGAGACCAGCCACCCGGACAGTTGATGAAACTGTGGGTTTGCACAACCAAATAATTTCTGCACAAACTGTCAGAAACCGTCTCGGGGAAGCTCATCTGCATGCTCGTCGTCCTCACCAGAGTCTTGGCCTGACTGCAGTTCGCCATCGTAACCGACTTCAGTGGGCAAATCCTCACCTTCGATGGCCAGTGGCTTCACGGAAGAATCCTGGTTTCAACTGTGCCGGGTAGATGGCAAACAGCATGTATGGCGTCGTGTGGGCGAGCGATTTGCTGATGTCGATGTTGTGAACAGAGTGCCCCATGGTGGCGATTGGGGTTATGGTATGGGCAGGCATAAGCTATGGACAACAAACACAATTAAATGTTTTCTATGGCAATTTGAATGCACAGAGATACCGTGACGAGATCCACAGCCCCATGTCGCTTATAGTCCTTAAGACACTTTGCAGTACTTTGTTTTTTATGTATTATTTCTTACATTGTTAGCCCAGAAAATCTTAAGTGTTATTACATACAGCGGGGAAGAACTATTGGATATCAGAGCGGCGTCAACTTACCAGCACTATTACCAGGAATACGACTTTCCCGAAGTGGATCTTTTGTTCGCACCACCCAGGGCATTTGAACTGATTCCAGAGGCCGACCCAAAACAACGCCACCGGAGGAGAGGGAGCCAGAGCGGTCTCCTAGTCAGACGTAGGAGGCGCGCACACCACACATCGCTTCCGAGTATATTACTCGCTAATGTCCAGTCCCTAGACGACAAAGTGGACGAGATCAGGGCAAGGGTTGCTTTCCAGAGAGACATCAGGAATTGTAACATACTCTGTTTCACGGAAACATGGCTCTCTCGGGATATACTGTCCCCGTCCATACAGCCATCTGGGTTCTCAGTACATTGCGCCGACAGGAATAAACATCTCTCCGGGAAGAAGAGGGGTGGGGGGGGGTGTTTCATGACTAACCACTCATGGTGTATTTGTATCAACATACAGGAACTCAAGTCATTTTGTTCACCTGACCTAGAATTCCTCACAATCAAATACTAACCGTATTTTCTCACAAGAGAATTCTCTTTGGTTATTGTTATAGCCGTGTATATCCCCCCTCAAGCCGATACCACGACGGCCCGCAAGGAACTCCACTGGACTTTATGCAAACTGGAAACCATATATCCTGAAGCAGCATTTATTGTAGCTGTGGATTTTAACAAAGCAAATCTGAGAAAAAGGCTACTTAATTCTATCGGCATATTGACTGTAGCACTCGTGCTGGAAAAACGCTGGACCATTGTTACACTAATTTCCGCTATGCATACAAGGCCCTCCCCTGCCCTCCTTTCGGCAAATCTGACCACAACTTTATTTTGCTCCCCCCTTCCTATAGGCAGAAACTCAAACAGGAAGCACCCGTGCTTAGGACTATTCAACGCTGGTCTGACCAATCGGAATCCAAGCTTCAAGATTGTTTTGATCACGCGGACTGGGATATGGTCCGGGTAGCCTCTTAGAATAATATAGACGTACAGTGGCTTGCGAAAGAATTCACCCTCTTGGTATTTTTCCTATTTTGTTGCCTTAAAACCTGGAATTAAAATGGATTTTTTGGAGGTTTGTATCATTTGATTTACACAACATGCCTACCACTTTGAAGATGCAGAATATTTTTTATTGTGAAACAAACAAGAAATAAGACAAAAAAAAACAGAACACTTGAGCGTGCATAACTATTCACCAGTCGGATGGGTTCCGCTGGTGTACAGCAATCTTTAAGTCATACCACAGATTCTCAATTGGATTGAGGTCTGGGCTTTGACTAGGCCATTCCAAGACATTTAAATGTTTCACCTTAAACCACTCAAGTGTTGCATGATGCTGCCACCACCATGCTTCACTGTGGGGATGGTGTTCTCGGGGTGATGAGAGGTGTTGGGTTTGTGCCAGACATAGCGTTTTTCTTGATGGCCAAAAAGCTCAATCTTAGTCTCATCTGACCAGAGTACCTTCTTCCATATGTTTGGGGAGTCTCCCACATGGCTTTTGGCGAACACCAAACGTGTTTGCTTATTTATTTATTTAAGCAATGGCTTTTTTCTGCCCACTCTTCCATAAAGCCCAGCTCTGTGGAGTGTACGGCTTAAAGTGGTCCTATGGATAGATACTCCAATCTCCGCTGTGGAGCTTTGCAGCTCCTTCAGGGTTATCTTTGGTCTTTTTGTTGCCTCTCTGATTAATGCCCTCCTTGCCTGGTCCGTGAGTTTTGGTGGGCGGCCCTCTCTTGGCAGGTTTGTTGTGGTGCCATATTCTTTCTGTTCTTTAATAATGGATTTAATGGTGCTCCGTGGGATGTTCAAAGTTTCAGATTTTTTTTTATAACCCAACCCTGATCTGTACTTCTCCACAACTTTGTCCCTGACCTGTTTGGAGAGCTCCTTGGTCTTCATGGTGCCGCTTACTTGGTGGTGCCCCTTGCTTAGACTCTGGGGCCTTTCAGAACAGATGTGTATATATACTGAGATCATGCGACAGATCATGTGACACTTAGATTGCACACAGGTGGACTTTATTTAATTAATTATGTGAAGGTAATTAGTTGCACCAGATCTTATTTAGGTGCTTCATAGCAAAGGGGGTGAATACATATGCACGCACCACTTTTCCGTTATGTATTTTTGTGAATTTCTTTAAACAAGTTATTTTTTTTCATTTCACTTCACCAATTTGGACTATTTTGTGTATGTCCATTACATGAAATCCAAATAAAAATCCATTTAAATTACAGGTTGTAATGCAACAAAATAGGAAAAACGCCAAGGGGGATGAATACTTTTGCAAGGCACTGTATACGCTGATGTCGTACCCACTGTGACTATTAAAACCTACCCTAACCAGAAACCGTGGATAGATGGCAGCATTCGCGAAAAACTGAAAGCACGA